CTTCTAGGAGGATTTTTTTAATGCAGTGAATTACTATTATCATAAATTTCTTTGACTCCACTGTGATTGATGGTTTTGGAGAGCTGTTGAGGTATTTTCCCAAATAGTCAAATGATCTTTGAAACTATGCCCCAGTGTTTGCTGCAGCTTGTGCCATCCTTAAATCTCTTTTACTTCCAACAAACAAGAGGGTACTGGATCAGAATCCTGGTTTATAGTCAGAATTCTCAATAGTTGAGGATATCGAGGGGGTATGATTTTCCTGGTCACTCATAGTACCACTGGTGCCAACTGAGATACACGCTAGAAAATGGCACTTAGTGTTTTGAGTCATTTCTCCACTCTTTGCATTTTAGCCATGTTAAAGTGTCTGTCTCACTGATTCTATGTTCACATCAAATGTTCATTGCAAATAACCTGCCCACCCCTCTGCCTAGCAATCAGTTAGAAGACCAAACCCTGCTTTGCTTTGCTGATACAAAATGTCTCATTGAAGTAACTGCCATTGAAGCACGTACGTATGAGTAAGTCAAGCAGCCCAGAATGCACAGAAGGGCTCTCTCAATTCATTTTATACTACATTTAAAATTGAAACTCTGTACTGATGTTGTAGTTTAGAGCATCTCAAATGATATATTGCCAGTCTCCAGGTAGCTGATCTTAGATTGCAATGGACGGAACTCGTCGTTAATGCTTTTTAATATTTTAAAATTTAATCAGAATGCTTTCTTAAAGTGTAGGGGGAGTGTTCTGTCATCACTTGGGCTGTGAAACTGCAGCAGCTGTATGGAGGTATTTAACTCCCTTTATTTTTCTTTTCTTTCAAATGTAACACCATCTTCAGGCAACCACCCTTCCACCCTCCAACATGCACATAGCAGCAATTCTTGCTTTTTATTTCAAAATACCTGTGGATGTTTCTGTGTCTAGTAATAATAAACATTAGTATAATCTCGCTGATATGAAAACAAAGAAATGTGCTACCTAAAAGGAGCATACTAGTACCTATACTATTTAACATCTACACCAATGATCAACTAAGTCACCCAGGTGCAAGAAATGTTACTTAAGCAAATGATTTGTATACCACTGTCCAAGCTAAGAATTTCACCCAGGTGGAGGTCATGCGGGCATCAGGAGTCAATGGGTTGTTAGACTATTACATCAAAAATCAACTAAATGCCACTCTAAATTAAACATAAGGTAGTCTGTTCCACATTCAGAACCAAGATACTAGTAAGCAACTTAACCTAACCTGGAATGGAATAACCCCTGTCTACTGCTCAAATACTATCTACCTGGGAGTGACGCTGGACTACATGCTTTTATATAAAGCATATGTAGAATCCATACATATAAAGTACAAAGTTAGTTCCTGGAACAACATATTAAAGAAACTCATTAACACCAAATGAGCAGACCAACGCAACAAAATTAAAAACTACTGCACTTGTACTTGTTATTTGGCAGCTGAACGTGCATGCCCAGTTTGGAAATGATGGCACATGCAAAGAAGCGACACTCTGTGCATAACAGAAGTTGCATGTGCATTACTGGATGGCTTTAAAACAATGAATGTCAATAGTCTCCATCTACTTGCTAGAATCATCGTACCAGACATCAGGAGAGCACTAGCAAGCAAATCAGAATGCACCCGGCAGCCTGAAGACAAGAGGAACTAGCTACATAGCTAAATTGCACCTCCCACTAGATGAAACTGGATGAAACACCAACAGCCACACAAATAAAAATGTGGCAATGACAACTAGAAATGACCCAGAAGAGAGATACAAAATTGCCAAACACCTCCCTGCAGACACAGAGTTTGATTGACTGTGTGGGTGTGTGTGGAGGGATGTAGGCTGGTGTATGGGCAGGTGTGGGGCAATTCCTGGGGGGGGGCTGTGGGTATGGGGAACCTGGTGGGGG